TCTCCAGCTAGCCTGCATCCTTTTGGAACCTATACAATAAAATCATGCAGTCCTTTGTTACTGTAAGGTAGGAGCCCAAATCTTCCATCTCAAATAAGTCAAAATTCCTGTCGTCAGAGGGACAGCTGGGTAGCTCCTCGAGACAAAAAGTGCTCCTTTCCAAGAGAGGCCCAATCTTTTCATCTTTCAAATGGGAAGTAAAAAAAAATCACAAACACTAAAACAACTCTAAAATTCTCATGCTGCTACTCATTTGGAGGACAGATATGCCATAAACCAGTTACTTAGAAACTGGTCCCCAAACCATTATGTGTGCAATATAGACAACTACAGAGCCTACAAGAAATCTGGAGAGGGACTTTGTAAAAAGGCATATAGGGACAGGACAAGGAGGAATGGCTTCAAGCTGACAGAGGAGAGATTGAGATGAGCTCTTAGGCAGAAGTTCTTCCCTGTGAGGGTGCTGAGGCACTGGCACAGGGTGCCCAGAGAAGCTGTGGCTGCCCCATCTCTGGCAGTGTTCAAGGTGGGGTTGGACGAGGCTTGGTGCAACCTGCTCTACTGGAAGGTGTCCCTGCCCGTGGCAGGGGTTGGAACTGGATGAGCTTTAAGGTCTCTTCCAGCACAAACCAGTCTGTGATTCTATGAAAGCCAGAAATTACCCACTCAGAGGAAGCACTGTTATCCTCTTGCCTGTAGCAGGACACTTCTACCATTTCCTCTGCACTAGGTTTTCTCCCAAATGCTATTTCCTCTCTGCCCTACCTGAAGTTCTCAGCAGTTCAGCGAGACAAAAAGGGCTGACACCAGCCAAATTCGTCTCTACATTATCTGTGCTTAAAGGCACTACAGGCAGCTAAGATTTAACTGAATTTCACTGTTCCCCAAGCTTAAATTGGTATATATTAAAGCAGCTTACTCCTTTCTACAGTACTTTGAACTCTTCTGTAATTTGTTCATCTGTGCAAATAGATCTCACTCTGGCAGGATAATTGCAAATATCCAAGTCAACTTTTCAGCACCTGAGCTTATTCCTTTTCCATAGGCTAAGCCCAGCAACCTCAGTATTCCGTGTCTTTTTCCCTGGGTCAGTGCTTGCAACTAAGTTTTTTTCCAACAAAGAGCTATTACAATAAACAATTCCTGGGAATTTCCCTTCAAGAGATGCCATCATCAGAAACTAGTGCACAGAGAAAGCACTCCTATGTATGTGAGATAGCAAAGTTCAATGGACCTATCCTCTTCTTCCCATCTCCTAACCATATGGAAGGAAAAATATGCTCTAGCTCTGAAGCTGAAGAATTTACTACTTTGTGATTTGAATAATAACAACCCAAACGAGAAAGAAATTCAACACCCCAAAATAGCTAGGAGTTCAGGAAGGGATACAAACCCTTATGCCTCCGACAATGTGTAGATTGCTAATAGAAATACTCTATCTATTAACTTTTAAATTCCTTTGAGTACCAGCAAAGCATAGGCAACAAGAGTGATAGATCATGGGGTCAGATCGACCTGATCTCACTGCTGTTGCCAATGCCACTACCCACTAGAAGCTACAGGGGAGAAGCTACAGGGGGGACACAATCCTGCCAGAATTTTCATCTAAAAAAAAACCTTTCCTGATTTGAGTTAAATATTTCTGCTATGCCAAAAAATAGTGCAGGTATTGTCCCTAGAAAGTATGACATGGTTTATATTCACATTTTTGTACTGACTTTACTCTGAATCTCATGCACACATAGATGTTTGATGGCCTAGGACACATGACTAGCTTTAATCATGTTTGGACAAACCTCCTAATTACACATTCATCCTAGCTGTATAGCCCATTGAGTAAATCATGGTTTAATGGGTCTAATTACAGCTTTAACTTCTTTTTCTTTTTTTTAATTAGTTAACAAAAGGAATTAAGCCACAGTTCCTTAGAAGATTAGCCGCTACTGATAAAACTATAATCTTCCAAGTATGTGTTCAACTCTGAACCACCAGATTTAGTGTCTAAAGAATCATATGATCCTTAAGCTTTGGTTATTAAGTATTTGCATTTGAATGTGGAGTAGCTTGTAAGGATCTCATAGAAGAAGCTGAATACATTCTCCTTCCACATAAGGAACACATGGACTGATGAGATCACACAGAGCCAACCTAGTGTAAATCACTGGTGTGTGTGCTGGGCGTGCACAGCACCAGTGCAAGCCATGTTTCGGTTTCAGACCAGGTGTTGGTGGTCCAAAAGAAGGATCTTTCACACTGCTACAGAAACTGCACCTGCACCTGTTCCTATATGAGGATACTTACTTAACCTCCTATAGATTCTACATTTAGCTTATGTAAAAGAGGGCTCAGGACCATGAAATTCTATTTCTGCACTGCTGAGGTTTGCCTTCTTTTATTTTATAAACACTATGTAACAAACAAGGATATAGACCCAGGATTTGCATCCTTGTATAAAAGATGTGCAGAAAGCCATTCCTGCCACTGGGCAGCTAAGGTTGCTACACAAAGCCCAAAGTACCTGGCATGACAATACATGTGTGGCATGACAATAAACTCAGGAGAAAGCACTGGGACTGATTTAATTCCCCTGAGTTTCTAGAGCAAACTGAGTTGAACTGTACTGCGGTTACACTCTTGTACTTCTACAGTCGCAAAGTCTTGCACTGACACCA